AATTGATTTGTATGATACGAGTTTTTTATCATTATTATTGTACTGTACTAATAGTATGGTACGATACAAAGTATAATACGGTACTGTATGAACAGCGATCATCATACCTTACCCGCCGCAGCGGGTCAGCCCCCCACCGCCAAGACCTCCGCGGGAAGCAAGGGGTTATCCGCGTGGTACATGGCGCATGAAGTAACCAATCAAGCACGATCTTATCCTTCCCTTTTTTTTTTTTACTCCCCCCCCCTCTCTCTTTGCTTCCCTCCCTCCTTCGGCTTTCTCATGATATGATACGGGTAGCATGTGCGGAAGGGGCTAGAGTAGGAAGGAATTCTAGGTAGTTTGCGCTCTTGCTAGGTAGTAGTGGCTAAGTATGATACTGGTACGTATGTTATTAAGGACTTATACCTGGGTCCATTGTAGTATCATGGTCGACACTTTGGTTTTCGATCCTTGATGAACAGGATGGCTATGGTGGGCGCGGGGGGAAGGGGGGGGTGAGGGCTGGAAGTTGGTCGGGGAGCACCGGTGGTGCTACACAAGCTTTTCGGCGGGAGCTAGGGACTCGGTACGGATGCTGTGCTCGTACTGCACAGTGCGAGTAGATGATGGACCGGGATATCGTGAGTTGAGGTTCAGGGAATGAAAGCCAACGTTTACGCGTAAATTAGCCGTCCGATTACCTGCGGCATTGATACGGAGAGACATTTCAAGTGGGTCTAGTAGGGTCCTTGGTATTATCGTAATCGTCATCGGGTAAACGGTCGGTCGAGATCGAGGATAACTATAGCCGCGACTTGCGAGCATAACTACCTACCTAGTACTGCACTTTTGTGAGTAACGTGTGACAGGAAAGGAATAAAGTGAGAGGGAGAGATGAACGAAGCAAATTACTAGCCTCGATATTTGTCCCAACAACCCTAGCCATCCGATACTCCGACGAGGAAATCCTGAGAAGTCGCCTTATCCGCTGCGCGATGTAGCATGGAGACATCATGTTGGTGTTTCGGGTCCTCTTTTGTATAGTACCGTACAGTACAGTACTGTACAGTAGTCTGTCTACGGTATGTATGATACAAGCAGAAAGTTCCACCATCCAAACCTGCAAGACAACATCACGAGGCTACACCACCACGTTGTAGGCCCAATAACCCGTCTCAAATCGTGGGAGAGAATAAAAAAAAAGAAATTTTGAATGCTTTTTTGTTTTTCTTCTTTTTTTTCTTTTCTTTTCGCCCTAGTTACACCGCATCGTCCGAAACCCACCACCGATCCTCAAGGAGAAGAGGACAAAGAGAAAAATGACAAATGGGAGAAGCCTTTTTTTTCCTCTCCTCTACCGGTACCCTACTCTGCTCACTCTTTCTCCCCATCTGCACACCCTCATTTGCGCGCTTCAAAATACCGCAGCTAATACCGGTAATTACGGAACCTAGAGGCGCCACAGTATCACCCCGACACACATTTGTCAATGTATCATACCCACGGTGCACGTGTACAGTACAGTACCAAGATTTATTTGGTTTCCCGCGAGGGAATTTCTAGATCTGTAACCTTATCCTCTTTCTCGGTTCGATAGTGAGGTTGGTATGATAGATGTACTGCCGGACTCAACTAACAGCAAGCCTAGCCTGTCTCCGCGGGCGCTCACCAATCTTCATTACCCCACTACCGAGGTGGAAGCCCCGGTCGCGGTTACTGACAGCGAAGATGAGACACCCCGGGTCGATACGGTTTCACGTACCTTATTCTGGCAGTTTTGGCGGTATTTTTAGACTAGTGCCCTCCTCCCGGAAGCATTGCTCGCGATCTTGCTTTTCTAGATTTCTGCTACGCGCCCAGTGGGCGGACGGAGGCCCGGAAAAGAAAGGAAACGGAAGATCAAAGAAGAGGAGGAAAAAGAAGAATGGGAGGAAAAAGTAAATTGTGTGGAGGTGTTGCTGGACCATTGTTGCGATATCATAAGCCATCACTCGCGTGGTCAGCAGGGATGGTGAAATTCCTGGGAAAGTGGAGGTTTGTGGACGGGGTGGAACTCCCGAAGTGGGTTTGTACTAGTACGAGCACTCCCAGGACTACCGTACTCGAGTACTGTGCTGTTCATGTAGCGTCCCGTATGTCCTTCGCACTAGCCCAGCCACCTGCCAAGGTTTTGCATTCCTCCTCAAGGAAACACAAGAGATGTCTTTTCGCAGAGCTCACCCTGCGCAGTCCTTCTTGTCTCTCTCGCTCTCTTTTTCTTTCTTTTTTTCTTCTTTTACCAAACACAGAGCCGACATAATTCATTTTTTTTTTGGCCAGGCCTCGACTTAGCGACAATACATGCTAAATCCCCAAGTGTTCACCATTCCTTTTTATTTATTTTTCCAACCGGTAATCCCCGCAATACTTGCAAAAAGTTTTTTTTTGCGGGGCTTAGGATCTTTGTATCTGGTCATCCTGTGGCTTCAACTCCGCCTCCGGCTGGCCACTTTCGACACCCACCGCGTTCCACTCAAGCCCCGCTACACCAGAAACTGCTCCTCGCTACGCTCACTTGGCCCCGCCGTGACTAGAAACGGCGAGTCTTAAAATTTGGCGGTGATGGCTTGATGAAATTAGCGACCGAGTTATCGTATCTCGAACGAAAGGTACTGAACCACACGGAATTTGAACACATGTCCACGTATACCATCCGGTAAAAGTCCACTACTGAGATAGGCTTCTACCATTCCATGCGGCTGAGGGAGAGGGAAGTAAGAGTGGAGAGGGGAAAAGAAAAAAGAAGAAAAAAAAAAAGCAAACCTGATCTCTACACACCTGTGAGAAAGCAAACAGATTTGGTTTCGCACTCTCACCCATGAACATCTGGTGGAGGAGGGGCGAGGCCTATCCGGCGCTGGGTCATTGATCCACGGTGCCCCAAAGGCAATGGGCGCCCTAGGGCTGGGTCTTGTGTCTCCTTAGACTTCTTTCAGAAAACTGAGATTTCGTAATATCTGGGCCACCCTTTGGGTTAGCCTGCCGTAGTATATCACACTTGTCTTTTTTTTTTTTGTCAAGTTTGTGAATTGATTTTAGGGGTGGGACCAGAGTTCTTCTAATTGATTTGGTCCAAGTTATGGTATAAAGGCCCAAATTGCAAATAAAAGAAATACATTGCAATATATTCTAGTGTCTATATATCCTACAGTTGCTCCAATATGGAACCAACTACATATCCTCTACCAAAACAGGAAAGGTATGCAGAAAAGGAAAATGCTACCTGTAGATACTGGCAGCAGAGAAAAAGTCCTATAAAAATAAATATTTCTAATTTCATTATTGACCTAACTTTAATACTGTACAGTATGGACTCAGATAAACTGAGTATCTATTATCCTCAATTGAAGGTACAAGGAATCTTTATTGTCTTTAGGATAGCATAGATTGAATGTACAATCCCTCAAAGGAGAAATACTAACAAGTTTAGTGTAAAATTTCAACAACTGGTTAGGCAGAAGTTCCTGTCACCTAGAGGTAAAAATTATTCATCTCTCGTAACTACACAGGCAAGCTTACAAGTATGGAAGCAGGTAATTTGGCAGTAGTAGAGTACTTACCATAGTCCTTCATGTACACAATAAGTTTCATTCCACAAGTCCATACCACTTTACATTTTATTTCATGGAATATAATTATGAAAGTAGTTTCAACGTTTTACCATGCAACCACCTTCCTGATTAGGAAGGTAAAAAGAAGGATCTAGAAAATTGCAGAAAGGAGCTTGGCGCACCTTACCCATCAATAGCCGTTTCCAAATCCGGTAAATGATCTCACAGGGCCAATGGTTGATCTCTCACAACGCTTAGTCCCCTCGATACCGTTCCCGAATATTGGCATGTCACTTGGACACATTCTCTGTCCGGTGCTCCATCCCAAGATTATGCATCCCTGGGTCCTAGCGACCTTTTTAGCATGATTTCTAGTGAAGGTACGACTGTTCACTTTACCTTCTTAAGCCGGAAGACTTACGGGAACCCAGTTCTCGCTGAAAAAAGAAACACCTGTTCATCATTCACAGTCTCTCTAAGTTGGAATCGGCGCTATCTTTGTGTCAATGCTGATCGGCATGGTTAGTACTTACCAGCAATACCCATCGAGGCATATCAATTCTCACACTAGTCATATTGCATAGTTTGGAACGCACGAGCAGCAGTTGTCCCCCTCCTCCCCCCCCCCCCCCCAACGCAGACCAATATTGCAAGCAAGAATTACTCTAGGTTATACCACTCAGTACCCAGTTAGCTATTGGGGTGGAATACTCATTTGGAGGGATCTACATTAGATCACCGTTGGTCTCTGGCTACGGTGGAGTTAGTGTTGGTCACCCCCGGATGGTTCTTGAGATTACCCCCTCCTCCTACCTAGGTCAAGCTCGCAGCCTCGTTCACACACGGGCAGAACATGACTGCTGCTGCAGTCAGGATAAGGCAACTATCCCCTTTCATTTTTTTTTTTTACCTGTCTACTCGAGTGGTTGTGGTTTGAGGTGGTCGTAAAATATCAGTTTCCTTCTGGCTGGCTGGAATGATCGAGTTGTCACAATATCCTCCCCCCCACACCACTCGGAATGTTTCTCATAAGTTACCTGATCTCATGAGAAATAGGTCTCTTCTTTTTTTTTTTTTTTTTTTTCTGTATACCTTCATTTCTGGCCCGTGCTATAGCTCGACTATTCCTTACTCTCTCGATGGCAGGACACTGCACTTTAGATCGAAATGGAGTTTTTTTTTTTACACAAACCTCTATATGACCGGGGTTTCCCCATGGAAATTTTGCATTGCACTCATCATGATTCACACCCGAGCCAGCGAGCAAAGCCATAAGTAGCAATCAGCTCACCCCATCGAAGCTTCCAGTAAAATGTCTGAAATTGCAAAAACCGTTTGGAGCTAAGGATCCCCCCCAAAAACCTACCCACCCACCACCAGCAAGGAATCATCATAGTATGTTATCACACACCACTCCCTCCAACAATATTGAAAAACAAAACCGTGGCTGAAAAGCTTTAGTGAGATCCCCTTTGTAAATTTACAACTGAGCCTTGAATCCCCCCCGGACAGAGGAGAGGGGCGGGTGGGTTGGATGAAATTCAGCCTTTTGTATATATGGCCATAACTAATTTACCTGAAGGTATAGCATGGTCACGTCCCAGTGATCCTGAGCGAATACTTGCCTTTCCGGAAGGAATGGAGCACGTGGGATTCGATCATTTCCTTGAGATGAGACATGGTCCTGGCTTTTTTTTTCCAAGAGGGAGAGAGATATAGAAAAAGATCCGGTCACCCCCCTCCCCTCCCTCTTCTCCTTCTCTTCGCTTTAGTTGCGGTAGGAATTAAGGATCCGGCATTAACAACTCTTCGAAATCCCTCTGTCTTGGTATTATCTTTAGTATTATACTGGTGGGTGCGTAGACTTGCTTTCACCACTCCCGACACAATATAATCTCCATCCGCTTGGTTGGTGGGCGCCAGTAATAGCAACAAGACAGGTACAGTACAGTACAGTACATAATAGTGAGCTCGACGTTTATGGGCAAAAGAAGGTAGAATTTTCTTTTTCCTACTAGGGTGTAAAAAAAAAAAAAAGTAATCTAGCAAAACCCTCCTCGCAAATAACTACCCCGTTGAGAACAAATCACTGTATCGCTTTTAGCTCCCCCCCCCCCCCCCAATCGGATCGCAATTATATCACTTATCTAGCCCCTCTTGCAAATATGAGCGCAACAAAACGCCAAAAATGCCTTGCCTTGCCCGCCCGCCCGCCACGATCCGTTCC